TATCTACATCTGTAATAATTTCAACACTAAAGATTTTTTTTAAAGTTATCTTTGATTAAACTTAATCCCCATTCACAATATTGTTAACTCACTAAGAGCCAAGCGAGAAAAATACCAACAGCTATCCAGGAATGGCAGATCATACGTACAGGATGTTCTAGTTAAGGTAGAAAAGTTTATGTTTGTATGACAGAGCAAACAGGCACTGGTCAACATTTTTAACCCCTGAAGTAAATCAACAACCTCAAGCTCTTGCTAGGATTCTCAAACCCTTACCAAAAGTACACTGGTCCTCAAGTGAGATTCTGGAGATCTGAAAAGAAATCTTCCACATGTTTCCAATAGGGTACATGCCATTTCAATATGGTGATGGGAAAAGTCTGATAGAAGCATCTGTAATAATAATAATGATGAAAAACCACAAAGACAATACTTCAAGCCTATTAGAGAAAAAAAACATTATATTTCTAATGTGTGTAACAATTTTTCAAATGTCAGTATAAAAAACAAAAGCTAGTCTTTTAGTTTAACAGTCCTCATCAATAGACATCTTTTGTGTTTTGCCATAAAAATCTTTTCTAAAAGCTTCAATATATTTAATGTTTTTTGTTTTAGATAGATATATGGAAATTAATATCAAAGCCCTTTCTAAATGTATTATTAAATGTCACATATTTAAACACATCACATATATAGCTTACATTCTCTAAATTATTTTGTTTTGATTTAAATAGCATTTATTTTTAACATTCTGACTACAAAAGACTTATTGTATAAAATTTATAAACACAACACATTACCACAACATGTTGGTAGTATTAATTCTCCCAATCTTTTTCTATGCATATTTACTAAACCAAATAGATTCAGACATATCACATCATTTGATACCTTGGGTGTTTTGACTAACATGAATATTTTTCCATGTAAATTCTGATTCTATTGGGTATAGTGCCAAATACATCAAAACTGTTAATTGTGCTGTTCAATTCTGAATATACTAGAGGCCCGGTGCACAAAATTTTGTGCACTTGGTGGGGGGGGGGGTGGTTCCTCAGCTTGGCCTATGCCCTCTTGCAGTCTGGGACCCCTAGGGGGATGACCACCTGCTGGTTTAGGCCCGCTCCCCGGGGGATTGGGCCTAAGATGGCAATCAGACATGCCCCTGGCAGTCCGGCAGCCCTCAGGGGATGTCCACTTGCCAGTGGAGAGCAGGCCTAAACTGCAGTCAGACATAGTTAGCACTGTTGAGGCGGGAGAGGCTCCCACCACCACCACTGTACTGGCAGCCATCAGCCTGGCTTGTGGCTGAGCAGAGCTCCTCCCATGTGAGAGCACCCTGACCACCAGAGGGCAGCTTCTGCAGTGAGCATCTGCCCCCTGGTGGTCAGTGTGTGTCATAGTGATCAATCATTCCCAGTCCTTCTGCTGTTATGGTCAGTTTGCATATTACCCGTTTACTATGTAGGATAGAGGCCTGGTGCATGGGTAGGGGCTGGCTGGTTTGCCCTGGAGGGTGTCCCGGATCAGGGTGGGGGTCCCGCTTGGGTACCTGGCCAGCCTGGATGAAGGAATGATGGCTGTCTGCAGCTGGTCACACCCCCTTCAGGGTGGGAGTCCCCAATGGGGTGCCTGGCCAGTCTGGGTGAGGGGCTGAGGACTGTTTTCAGGCTGGTGGGCGACTGTAGCTCCCAGCCTCTCCTTTTTGCTTTTTTTTATTCTGGGATTTATTTACCTTCTATAGCTGTCACTGGAGCTGAGAGCCGGCTCCAACTCTGAGGCTATTGCCGGCTGAAAGCAGGTATCTGGGTTTGTTTAGATTCTATAATTGAAACTCTGTTGCCATCACTGGCTGCTCTAAGCTCTGAGGCCTCACTGGCTGAAAGCAAGTATCTGGAGTTTGTTTAGGTTCTATAATTGCAACATTGTTGTATCCGGAGCTCAGAGCTGGGCTGTGGCAGGCGGGGAACCTTGGCTTCCTCCATCACTGGAGCAAGCAAGCCTCCTATTCGCTTCAGCTGCCTGGCTACCGACCGCCATCTGGGCTGGCAGATAATTTGCATATCGCCCTGATTAGCCAATGGGAAGGGTAGTGAAGTTACGGTTAATTACCATGTTTCTCTATTATTAGATAGGCTACTACTTACAGATTTTGTCTGCCTGTTCTTTCAGCTATTAAAGTGTTTTCAAGTCTCTCACTATGATTGTGGATTTTTTCTCTTTTATTTCTTTACTAAAGGCCAGATGCACAAAATTCGTGCAAGACAGGCCTTCCTTCCCCTGGCTGCTGGCATCAGCTTCCCTCTGACAGCAGGCACCCGGGAGAAGGATATCTGGTCTAATTAGCATATTTTGCTTTTATTATAGACTAGCGGCCTGGTGCACAAAAATTTGTGCATTTGGTGTGGGGGCGGAGGGGTCCTTCAGCCCGTCCTGCGCACTCTCGTAGTCTGGGACCCCTCGGGGGATGACCACCTGATGGCTTAGGCCCGCTCCCCAGGGGACTGGGCCTAAGCTGGCAATCAGACATCCCTCTGGCAGCCCGGGAATCCTCGGGGGATGTCCACTTGCCAGCGGGGAGCAGACCTAAGCTGCAGTCTGACATCCTTAGTGCTGCTGAGGAGGCAGGAGAGGATCCCACCACCACCGCTGTACTGGCAGCCCTCAGCCTGGCTTGTGGCTGAACAGAGATCCCCCATGTGAGCGCACTGACCACCAGGGGGCAGATCCTAAATTGAGCATCTGCCGGAAGCCCCCAGCCTCTCCTTTTTTTCTTTATTCTGGGATTTATTTACCTTCTATAATTCAAACTTTGTTGCCTTCAGTGGAGCTCAGAGCCCTCTGCCAAGCCTCCTGCTCGCTCCAGCTCCATGGCCACGGCCTGCTGAAAGCAGGTATCTGGGATTTATTTATCTTCTATAATTGAAACTTTGTTGCCTTAAATGGAGCTCAGAGCTGGCTGTGGGAAGCTTGGCTTCCTCCATCACTGGAGCAACCAAGCCTCCTGCTCGCTCCAGCTTATTGGCTGCCATCCCCCAACTTGGTTGGGTTAATTTGCATATAGCCACTCTGACTGGCTGGTGGGCGTGGCTTAAGGCATATGGAAGGTACAGTCAATTTGCATGTTTGTCTTTTATTAGATTAGACTAGAGGCCCGGTGTACATAAATTTGTGCACTCGGGGGGAAGGGGAGGTCCCCCAGCCCGGCCTGTGTTCTCTCGCAGTCTGGGACCCCTCAGGGGG